TCCTTTCCTTCCTTCTTTCCTTCCTTCCTTCCTTCCTTCCCTCCATCCCCTCAACCTACTTTTCCTTTCCTTCTTTCCTTCCTTGTACCATCATTCTTTTTTTGTAATGAAACACTGTACTGTAATGCACAATGTACATTTGCTTAAAATGGTCACTTTTCAGCTCCATTTTTCTTTAAATGCCACCAAAGTTTGAAACTTAAACCCCATTTCAGGCTCCACCATGCTCAAAGCCAATTTTGCCTCTGAGGTCTGAGATTATTTCATAACCTTGCTTTTTTTTTTTAATCAAAAAAAAGAAAGAAAGAAAAACGTGTTAATTCATGTACATAAGTTATTCCACACAATAATTAGGATTAGCTTTAATTTTTGTCGGAAATTCCGATCCAGAAAGGAAGTCGAGAAGAGAGGGAGGAGTAGACAGGCTGTATTTTCTGGTCAATCATTTGCCTGACCAATTTTCCCCCATTGTATTCAAACAAAAGGCCTGTTTCAAAGTGATAAGACCTTCCGATAAACCTCAACAGGTTTTTCCTCCTATTGTATCTCACCCCATTCATAGATACTCAAATCAACAAGGAAGCTGGTTTTTTTTAAAGCTCTTTTCCTGGGAAAATCACAGGGCACCATTATGTTGGCGGGGAAGCTTGCGAATCCCAAACTGTGGCTCACAATTAGGGGGGGAAAAAACCCCCTGACTTTTTCTGTTTTCTTCTACCTGCGGAACCAGCATGGATTTAAAAATCTCAAACAGTGTAAATCCATTTTAAAAAAAAACCTCTTGTTTTTCCCTCTGAAGCAGCATTTCTATACTCGGCAAACACCCTGCACAAAATGTGAGGCTTCTGACATCGGAGGAATTCCCACAGCTGTTCAAAGGAGGATCTGTCTGCCCCGCAGCTCCCCGTTTTCTCCCCAATAAAGACGGGGAGAGAAATCCAGCTGTTTCGCGCGGAACAAGCCACCCTTCCAAGCTGAATTCCCCATTTCTCCCCCTGTGCTTTGCCAGCAGCTGGGACTTAATCAGCCTTCACCGTTTCTTTCTCGTTATCTGTTAAATTGATGTGGCTTTTTAAGAGACCAACACGGCTGCTGGGCCAAATACAGATAGTCCTTGACTTACAACGTTTCGTTTAGTGGCCATTCAAAGTTACGAGGGCCCTGAAAAAAGCGGCTTGTGACCGTTTCCCACACTCGCGATGGTTGCAGCATCTCCGCGGGATCAAAATTCAGACGCTTTGGCCACGGACTCATATTTACGACGGTGGCCGTGTCCCGTGGGGTCATATCCCCTTTTCCGACCTTCTGATGAGCCAAAACCAAGAGGGGAACCAGATTCATTTAATGACTGCATTACTAAGGACAGCAAGTGATTCACTTAATGAGACTTGGCAAGGAATTTCGTAAAACGGGGCAATACTTGCTTAACAACTGTCTTGCTTAGCAACAGACATTTTGGGCTCACCTGTACTAAGAAAGCAACAACAACAACCCTAACAAATTAAAGAAGGCAGCTACGTCTCAGGAAAACCAGGATGAGCTGAAACAGGCAACCGTAAACTGCAATTGGCGGGTTGTTGGGCTCTTCCAAATGAGAGCAAAACGTTTTGCGTTGCCCAATCCTGTCTTGGCTCCTGTTCGTGTACTAAATTCCATTCGAATTGTGTTAGCATAACACATCTTGGGTTGCTTACATATTTGGCTGCCCAGATGCAAGTTGCTTAAATGACTTTTTGGAAGCACTAATGACTTCCATATCCCCCCCCCCCCCCAAATGAGATTCTGAAGGCTGCCTTGTCACAACCCCAGACAAATCCTCTTGTGTTAATAATAAGAGCCAAAGGTGTTGAGAAGCTGGGAACGGCAGCTGGACAATGGAATAATTAACAACTGCAACCTTTGAATAATGACAAGTTCGGGATCCATTTTTTTCTCCCCACAAGACAGTCTGCAGACATCTAGCCTCTTGAACCAGAAAAAAAAGTCCAACAGGCAAAAAACAAATCTACAAAAAACAAGATTTACCCACTTGGAAAAATCACCCTCTGAGGACAAATAGGAGAGAGAGGGATGCGTCAACAACGTTAGAAATAGGTTTCCTCTACTAGCCAAACAGCATCTATTGGGATGAGAAATTGACAGTTAAAAATATAAGGTGGATATAAACATATATAGGAGAATTGGAAGGGACCTTGGAGGTCTTCTAGTCCAACCCCTGCCTAGGCAGGAAACCCTACACCACTTCAGACAAATGGCTATCTAATCTCTTCTCAAGAACTTCCAGCGTTGGAGCATTTGCAAAGTCTGGATGCAGACTGTTCCACTGGTTAATTGTCCTCACTGTCAGGAAATGTCTCCTTAGTTCTAAGTTGCTTCTCTCCTTGATTAGTTTCCCTCTGTTGCTTCTTGTTCTGTCTTCAGGGGCTTTGGAGAATAGCTTGACCCTTTCTTCTCTGTGGAAACCCCTGAGATATTGGAACACTGCTATCTTGTCTGCCCTAGTCCTTCTTTTCATGCAACACCCGTTTTCATGGGTTTTGTTGCATGTATGATGCATATCAAAAGTGGTAGGGTTTCAGTCAGATGATCCTGGCTGCAGGAATTGGGTATGTCTAGTCTAGTGAAAAGAAGGACCAGGGGTGACATAATAGCTGTGTTCCCATATCTCAGGGGTTGCCCCAAGGAAGAGGAAGGGGTCAACCTCTTCCCCAAAGCCCCTGAAGGCAGGTCAAGAAGCAACAGATGGAAACCCACCAAGGGGAGAAGCAACCTAGAATTGAGGAGAAACTTCCAGATAGTGAAGACAACAAACCAGTGGAATGGCTTGCCTTCAGAAGTTGTGGATGCTGAACTTTTTGACCTTGGACTAGGACCTTGTTGCTAACCACAACATGCCTAGGAACATGAAAATGTTGTGAGCTCTCAGATCGGTTGACAGAAACAGAATATTCAAGGTAAACAAGAATGGTCTCGACAAAGGTTACAGCTTAATTAGGAGCCAACAAAATGGGCTGCCCATCTTGTCTTTTGAGACGGAATGGAATGAAACTTCTGGAATTTCCAGGTTGAGGAACATCAACCTGGTCTCGGGCCCATTGGAGAAGATGGGGAGAAACGTCTACTACAGAAGATTGACAGCTCTAACGGTTACCAAAGAAAAGAGGAAGGAAGGAAGCTAATTCTGAAAAGCTGCATCCAAGTATTGTTTTCAATACCGACCCGTTTATTGGGTTTTTTTTTTAAAAAAGTTATTTCTTCCACTTCCTTGGCAACCCTGGAAGAGATTTCCAAGCAACATCAGGTTTGTGGCCAAGAATTTAAAGAATGGCTAAAAATTGATATCTGGTCCTTGTAACTTTATGCCGATGGGAGGATCTAAGACACTGAAAAGTCAGGAGAGCAACTGCAAAACTTTGCGGATACGTCCACGTTTTCCTTCCAGGAGATCATCTTCCATGTCAGATTGATCGTACTCCTTCATCAGAGCTTCAGCTTTCTGCACCGTTGTGTCTCGGGCACGGCCTTGAAGTCCTTCCAGATACCGCAGCAAAATGGAGAAGTATTGATCGGGGACCTGTAAGAGAGAGAAGGGAGGGAGACCGAAGTGTTTTTAGCCAGCCACAATGAGTGGAACAAAATGCGGTTGTTTTGCTTTCTTATCCTATCCTTTGGAGCAGGGGTCTCCAACCTTGGCAACTTTTTAAAGACTTGTGGACTTCAACTCCCAGAATCCCTCAGCCAGCATAGCTGAAGTCCACAAGTCTTAAAGTTGCCAAGGTTGGAGACCTCTGCCATGGAGGATGGGCCTGTTTCTTGTGGATAAAGAAAATCCAGCTTTTGGCTCAGGATGCATCTGTATTTAATTTATTAACAAGCCATCCAACTCGGGAGGATATAAAGCACCGTTTCTCAGCCTCATGGTGCTTTAAAAGGTGTGGACTTCAACTCCCATAATTCCGCACGCTGGCTGGGGAATTCTGGGAGCTGAAGTCCACACCTTTTAAAGTAAATGAGGTTGAGAAACGCCGATGAACAAAACAATGAAAGCCGGGACAATGTGGGGGGGGAAAAAACGAATCTGGAAAAATAACCCCCTTTCTGATGAACCCATAATTCTCCTCAAGGGCTATCCCAAGGCGTGGGGGTCAGAGCCAGCTCTGAAGGGCTCGTTTGAAGAGCATCCATATAAGGGAGGCCCAACCAGACAAGGTTTGTTCTGGGGTCCAATCCAGTACAGGTTGACCCTACCAGGTGGAGTAGGGTGGGCAGAAACTACAGATCCCTAGTTCATTGGATGATTCCCCCTCTTAGGAGGGTATCCACCTCCATCCCTTAGCAGGTGGGGTGCCCAGACCACAGCAGCTTACACGAAGGCAGCTTGGGGCACCTCCCTCTGGAAAAGACTTAGATGGGCAAATCCAGGGGTGGGATTCTACCAGTTTCCCTACGGATTCGGGGATCGCGCTCTTCCCAAACGCCAGCTGAGGCTCTGCAGCGCCAATCAACTGAGCGGACAAAGAAGAGAAAAGCGCAAGGGGGCGAGTGGGAAGGCCGATCCTGGGCTTTTCTCTGCTTTCTGCTCTCAGGTGATCGTCGGAGCTTTTTTTTTTTTTGCTACCAGTTCAGCCAAACCGGGCAGCACCGGTATCATTTCACCACTGGGCAAATCGCAGAGTTAACCGGACATTGTAGCAGGGCTGCGTGGCTGAACCTCACACCTGGGGAATGGGGTGGAGGGGCGGGGGGCTACCTGGTCTTCGTCGTACATGTGCAGAAGAAGCCACGTCTGCCTCGTCTTCTGAAATTTCCAGCCTTGGGGACTCCCTGACCAGCTGCCACCAAACCAGGAAGAGAAAGCAGAAGGAAGGAATTCAATAAGGTAAGAGGGGGAAATATTTCCGTTTTCACCCATATTTCCGTTTTCAAAGGTGTCCAGATCTTTGTTCAGATCCTGATGAGCCTGGGGGAAAAAAAGGATTGAGCAGAACGTGCCAAAAGAAAGATAGAATGGTTGGGGTATTCTGAGAGTTGGAAGCCCACGCATCTTAAAATGTTGGGAAACAACTGTTCTTCTACAGTCTTTGTGAGGGGACCTTTATTTCAAAAACTGCTTTAAACCTTCCATTTGTTTTCTGAACATGCCTATTTTGAATAAGTCCATTTACTGGGGTGGGTGACCCTGGGTTTCCAAAGCTGTCCAGGAAGGAAATTAAGACTGCAGTGATACATTTATATCATCCTACAGCAGAACAACTTTAGAAGGAAGTCCACCATTGGCTCTTGGACTAGAAGACTAGACTAAGAAGACCTCCCTTCTAACTCTCTTGTTATTCTGTTATACTTACTCAGGCATATTCAGTGTTTCTCGTTTGGCACGGTACTGAGTGCTTAGAAACAAAACCACAGCTTGTTGTAACCCAAGAAACTACTTCACGGAGACAGGTGATCTTGAAACGAGAGGTTATGAAGCCAGCTTTTCATGGCCCACAACTCTGATTAAACAAACCTGGATTTTAATTGTTTCTGATGGAATATTTAGACCAGGTTTGTTTGGACATAATGTTAAATTACGATGTGTTGACCTTAAAGAGTTGATTTGTGTGTCTCAAATCACTCATGCTTATGAAACAGGCTTAGTCACGGCCAACAACATACGATATCCAAACTCGGAGAGTCTGATGAAATTTGTGTTGGATCTACACCACAGTTTTTGGAGGAGTAATTGAAGCTTATTGGAATCAAAGCTTCTTACAACATTCCAACCATCAACAATTTTGGCAAATGTTTTCCAAAATACCTTGCTAATCTAAAATGTGGAGAAAGAGTTGAAGGCTTTCTCTGTGCAAACACAAAACTGCTCCCTAAGCCAAAATCTGTAACAGAAGAATGTGACATAAAATCTAACACAGCTTATTGCAAGTGTGTAAACAGGAAAATTACTTCCCTTATATAACTGACCCCTTGGTTTTTTTTTTTTTTCCTAAAAGCACTATTGCTTCTGATTATATTATGGGGGGAAAACCCCTCACAAAGGTTTCTCCCTGTATAATGGTACTCTTTTATCAGAAACACATGAGCCCACTGGATCAGACCGACCTAGAAAGCAAGGTACACACCAACGTGCACAAATGAACAGTCGTAAGCGTGAGCCAGATGCCAAGCGTCTGAATTTTGATCCTATCACCAGGAGACACAACGGTCGTAAGCGTGAAAAACAATCATAAGCCACGAATTTTTCAGTGCCATTTTAACTTTGGCCACGAAACGAACTGTTATACGTCGAGAACTACCCTGCATTCAGCTCCGGTCTGAGCTCTGCATCTTTCCATGAAACTGGAAAACTTCCAAATTCACCCACAGGTTTTGCAGATAATTGACTGGTTCTAGGATGAATTGTGATGTCATGATAAGCGGCTTTGACAAGTCGGTTTTTGCTCCTATTTCAATTTCCTACGGCAGAAGGGAGGCTCCCTCGAATCCAGGACGTATTTATTTATTTTGGAAGGCTCAAATGTAAGAAATTGAAACTTTTTATTTATCCCCAGTGACTGTTTCTGAATGGAGAAATGTCAGCAGAGCTGGAAAATGCAAAGTCCTCGGCAGCGGAGCGGGAAACCCCCCCCCCCCCGAACCACATGGGGGTTCGAAAATCTTGACAGACACGAATTGTTTGGACATACCTGCTGAGAACGTGCTCGGTTCTACCTAACGAAGCCCAGACCTTCCACAATGTGGCTCCTTTGGATTTGCCATCTCAACCCTTTGCCATGTTTGAAAAACAGGACTTCATATATAAATATAGTCGAATAACATTGAAATAAATTTCCATGACTCAAGCGTGTAAATAAACAACAATAATTCAAAACAGCAGGATGCTGGGTGGAGAAAAATGAATTAAAATAAAAAATACTTTCAACAGAGACGTTCTCACTCCCATTCCCACACTATCGCGGTCGGCGTCCTCCGAAGCCACTGAAAGGAAATTCAGGGAAGGGAGTCCTTGGCAGACACCCACAACGGAGCCCAGAATTTTATGTTGCTAAGTTGAGAAATGCGTTGAGTGAATTTTGTCCTGTTTTACGACCTTTTCTTGCCACATTGGTTAAGTGAATCACTGCAAGTTGTTAAATGTCATTAAGAATAGAATAGAATAAGATAGAATAGAATAGAATAGAATAGAATAGAATAGAATAGAATAGAATAGAATAGAATAGAATAGAATAAGAAAGAATAGAATAGAATAGAACAGAACAGAACAGAATAGGAATAGAATAGAAATAGAATAGAATAGAAAAGAAATACAGAATAGAATAGAACAGAGAATAGAATGTAGAATAGAATAGAATAAGAAAGAATAGAATAGAATAGAATAGAATAGGATAGGATAGGATAGGATAGGATAGAATAGAATAGAATAGAATAGAATAGAATAAGAAAGAATAGAATAGAATAGGATAGGATAGGATAAGATAGGATAGAATTGGAATAGAACAAGAATAGAATAGAATAGAATAGAATAGAATAGAATAGAATAGAATAGAATAGAATAAGAATAGAATAGAAATAGAAATAGAACAGGAATAGAACAAGAATAGAATAGAATAGAATAGAATAGAATAGAATAGAATAGGAACAGAATAGGAACAGAATAGAAATAGAATAGAATAGAACAGGAATAGAACAAGAATAGAATAGAATAGAACAGAACAGAATTCTTTTATTGACCAAGTGTGATTAGACACAGAAGGAATTTGTCTTTGGTGTAAATGCTCTCAGTGTACATAAAAGAATAGATACATTCATCAAGAATCATAAGTACAACGTTTACAGCGTTGTGACCTTTACTAAAACAGGCAAGACTTCAACCCTGTGGTGGGGATGGCCGCCCTCTGTGACCTTTGCAGATCTCCCTGGAATCTTATGATCAACTCAGCTGTTCTGGGGCAGCTCCGCGTCCTCAATTGTTCGTCGACTAATGGAACGGATCGACCAATTAAACAGGAGAATTGCGTCCTAGGAGGAGATGGTTCTGCTTGGGGTTAACCTGCCTTTACCCAACAGATGCCGATGAGGTGGACCTTCAAGGAGGACGGGAACATTGGGGAAACCCAGCTTGGTATCAGACCGAGAAGAAGGTAGGTCCACATGAGAACGGAGCCTACTAGGTCTTCTAAGACTTGGCTTTAGAGTGCAGATGGTATGGCTATCAAAGTTTTGTAGATGATGTGGCAAAATTTAACCAGATCACCAAAAGCATCAATCAATCAGTCAGTCAATCAATCAGAATAGAGCTGGAAGGGACCTTGGAGGTCTTCTAGTCCAGCCCCCCCACCCAAGCAGGAGAACCTAGACTATTTCAGATAAGTGATTGTCCAATCTCTTCTTAAAAGCCTCCAGGGATGGAGCAGCTACAATTTCTGGTGGCAAGCTGTTCCACTAATTTATTGTTAGGAAATTGTTAGGAAATTTCTCCTTAGTTCTAAGTTGCTTCTCTCCTTGATTAGTTTCCATCCGTTGCTTCTTGTCCTGCCTTCAGGTGCTTTGGATAATAAGTTGACCCCTTCCTCTTCTTTGGGGCAGCCCCTCAAATACTGGAAGACGGCTATCATGTCCCCCCTAATTCTCCTTTTCTTCTCTAGACTGGCCAAACCCAAATCCTGCAACTGTTCTTCCTATGTTTTTAGTCTCCAGGCCTTTGATCATCTTAGTTGCCCTTCTCGGCACTTTTTCCAAAGTCTCAACTTCTTTTTTACAATGTGGTGACCAAAACGGGATGCAGGATTCCAGTTTTCCTTGCTGTCTTCCAGCCTCTTTGAAGGCATCTCCTACGCTTCGATAGCACATCGTTAATGAACACCAGCGGATGCTGCCATATAATGAGCAGCGCTTTCAAGGCATTTTGGAAGGGTTTCTGAATCCTCCCTTACAACAAATTCCTCTTTAATTACAACAAATAGCTGCCTCCCCCCCCCACCCACCCCCCACAAACATCGGGTTGAAAATATCTTCCCCTTCTCCATGGTTTGATCGCATCCCATGCTTTCTTTTCTTTTTAGTCTCTAATGGCAAGGTCATAACTCAAACAATTTGCCAAGAGGCCATCGCGGAAGCTCCCCCGAACAAACCCTGCATTGCACTGCACAGGAAGGAGACAGCAAGCGGAAGAAGATGGTGAGAAGGAATTTCTACCCTGCTTATGCTATCAGATGATTAAGATCTCTTCTGAAACAGAACAGATCTTCAAAACCAGAAGCCAGCGATCCCACCATGACCATTTCCAGTTTTCCACCACAAAAACACATCTGCCGCCAATCTGATGGATTTGAAGATGCTGGGCCTTATTCATTCAGGGTTTGAAATGCTGTTGTTGGCAGTGCGGCTTTCATTTTCGGTGTTTATTTTTAACAGGAGTGCGTATCTTCCATTTCCTCCTTGGCTTAATAGCAGTCGTGATGCTTCTTCCTGCCACTGGCACCATCAGCCCGGGCTTCTGGTCTTCAAACTTTCAAACATGTATTGGTCATATCCTCTAACCTATGCTGGCGAAACATGGACACTACCCTCACAATCGATCCAAAAGATATGAGGGGCACAAAGAGCCATGGAAAGACGCAAGAGCAACCAGGATGATAAGGGGATTGGAGGCTATAATATACAATGAACAGTTGCAGGAACTGGGCCTGGCTAGTCTAGGGAAGAGAAGGACCAGGGGAGACAGGAGAGCAGCCTTCCAATATTTGAGGGGCTGCCCCAGAGAGGAGGAAGGGGGTCAAGCTATTCTCCAAGGCACCCAAAGGCCAGACAAGGAATAATGGAAGGAATAATCCTGTCTCTGTCCTATTGTCCCCATTTAATCGTACCTATTTTCTGTATTCTTACTCATGTTTATACTTATACCTATTATTTTGTAACCGATTGACAAATCAAATAAATGAATAAAATAAATAAAATAAAGGAGAGATTCAACCTGGAAATAAGGAGAACTTTTATGACAGCGAGAACCATCAAACGATGGAACAGAAATTGCCTTCGGAAGTTGTGGGAGCTTCATCCCTGGAAGCTTTCAAGAAGAGACTGGACTGCCCTCCATCAGGAATGGTGCAGGGTCTCCTGCTTGGGTGGGGGGTGGGGGGGTTGGACTAGATGACCTACAAGGTCCCTTCCAACCCTGATTATCTGTTATGTGTTAAACGGGGCTGGTTACATAGCAAGAAGAACAAAAGCAACTCAGTTAAGAACCGGCCTTGTTTAGCAGTGAAAATGCTGCTCCCCGTCGTGGTTGTTAAGTCTCCTTGCCTTGGTTTGCTGGGCAGGCAAAAATCAAGTGAAAGAAAATGAACGTCAATCTCCCATCAGTTCATACATATTGTATATTTGTCTGCTCCAATTGCTCAGTGCAAAGACTCCGCCGGTGGCGAGGGGAGCCCGGAATTTATGCGTTTGTTTTTCAAACCAGAAAGCTCGCCTTGCGATAATCGCTAACAGACGTTCCAGAAGAGCTATCAGCCCATGACAGATAACCGCACATCCCTTCAAAACAAGCAGAGGATTCCAGCTGCTCCTGAAATTGTGTTGAAGAGCACAATTTGTGTTCTGCTTTCCCTCCAACCTCTGGGCAGCCCGAATCATGCGCCTCTCAGGCGGGAACGCAATTAATTTCCTCCAGCTACATGGAAGAGTAGATTGAAGTCCTCGTTCCTAGACGTCGTATTTTGGTTCTAGGAACTGCTAGAGATAGGAAGTTATGGCAACTGGGGGCATCGCACTGTAAATCTCCCTTACGGAGAGATGTGGCTTAAACCCCAACGGGGTAAGACGTGAAGCTTGCTGGCTCCATGGATGTAAACATGCAATCTTGACCTGTCTTGGATCACGTGTTGGTCTTGTGGACTCTAAAATGAAGCTTTATTTGTTGAGTGTTAGGATGGAAAAGGGGTAGGTTAGAAATAAATAAAGTAGAAGCCATGAAAACGAGAGGGAGTAGAAAGACCAGATCCAGTTACATGGACTTAAGAGGGCCTAAGACTGATCTTTCTCTTCCAAAAGTTCTTTCTCCTTAACCTTTCATGTGGCAGAACAACGAAGAAACGTTGCTAAAGCCGTCTATGGAGATTCTCATCCGTCCAGGTCATTGGTTCTTCCAAAAGTGCTTTTTTTCAAGAGGCAACCGGACTTTCTGGTTTTCCTTTGAAGTCATTTCACTTCTCATCCAAGAAGCGTCTTCAGCTCTCTTCTAAACGTCTATGGAGGTTCTCAGCCATCCAGATCAGGGGTCTCCAACCTTGGCAACTTTAAGACTTATGGACTGATGAACCCTCAGAGTTCCTCAGCCAGTAAAGTTGCCTTTTGAAAAAAGCACCTTTGGGATCGTGCCAAAGGTGCTTTTTTCCCCCCAAAAGGCAACGAGACTTTCTTTTTTTTTTTTTTTTTCCGCTTTGAAAAGTTTCGCTTCTCATCCTAGAAGCTTATTCAGTTCTGCTAGAGAACTGACGAATCTTCTTGGATGAGAAGTGAAACTTTTCAAGGAAAAAAAAAAATCCGAGAAAGTCCAGTTGCCTTTTGGGGACAACCATGACCAGGATGATGGAGAATCTCCATGGACATTTAATCAAGAGACAGGATCCACTAGAATTTAATTACAAACGGTGATCCAGGGCCGAACACATGAAGGTGGCCAATTGCTGTAACCCAATGACATTTCTACTCACTGCCCTGGAGGGAACTTCGCAAAAAGGGCCAAACTTACGTCGTTAAATAGTCCAGGGCCAACTCTGACCCTGATGGCTTCTTAGGCTGGTTCTTCTTGGCCCCAGGCGTTGCTTCTCGCATTAATTTCTTTTGTGCTTTTTTCCGCTCCTTCTTCAGCTTTCGTTCCAATATCCTCTTCTCTTCTGGAGAAAGTTCTTCCTCTGTCTCCTCTTCCTCTTCTTTTCTCACCTAAGGACCAAGAGAACAACCATAATCCACAGCTCATGACCCACAGGTCCATTACATACATACGACCAATCCTTGTGAGAAGGAACATTTGAGCAGAGCTTAGTGAATCCTTCACCTTGGATTGACTCTTGAGGCCATGGTGGGTTTCCATCCATTCAAGCCTGAGGAGACTCACCTTGGGGGGGGGGGGACATTGAGTTACACAGGCTGTGGGAATAGCAATAGCCCTGAAGACTTACATCCCACTTTAAAGTGCTTTTACAGCCCTCTTTAAGCTGTTTAGAGTCAGCCTCTCGCTCCCTCCAACGATCCGGGTCCTTGTTTTATCCACCTTGGAAGGATGGAAGGCTGAGTCCACCTGGAGCTGGTCAGGATTGAACTGCTGGCAGTGGGCAGAGTCAGCCTGCAGTGCTGCATTCTAAACACTGTGCCACCATAGCCCTTCCTTCCTTCCTTCCTCCCCACTTAGCACTTAGACTTATATATCACTTCACAGTGCTTTACAGCCTCTGGCCCCCAATAATCTGGGTCCTTGTTTTACTGACTTTGGGGCTGGAACTGACCATCTTGTTGGGCTTTGAGGGAATTCCAGAGGAGTAGAAATATCATCCTTGGAAAATTTATTTAGTGTTACGGCATATCATACATGTAAGCAATGAAATTTCATTTTAATGTATGCCGACTAGTGTACATTCAAAGTGACAATATTCTATTCTACTCTGCTCTGCTCACAGACTAGCAATCTATACCACCATTTCACCTAGATCAGTAAAACCCAATAAAATATAAATGTTAAAAAGATCTACCTAGAAATACCAATGTCTATGCTCATCTAACCATTGGTTTATATTAATATATTGGACCTTTTCAGGCCCAAAAGACCAGAGAGATCAGGAAGATTATTTCAAATTTTGCAGCTTGTATAGTTTTACATAGTGAGACCATCGCTTATGCATTTGGGGGAGGAAAAATAAAATAAAAGAATTACGGAAACGGATATAAAGAAAGCTTATGTTACAGCGACACTGGAATCACGCTGTGATTTTAGATTGGCAAAACTGGAGCTCGATCAGTTGTGGGTTCTGCGCACTGAATATTCATTAAAATGAGTTAAGCAGATACCCTGAAAGACAGAGAGTGGTTGGCTTCAAGTCTGATACAATGGAAACCGAAGAGAAATGCCAGCTTCCTGGACTCTCCGATAAATGTTTTTAAAAGGGTGGCCGATTATCCTTCCTTTGTTGGAGATTTAATAAATCTGAAGTCCCTTTAACAAGGCATGATACACATCCCCTGGGAACTCCTTATTTTAATTATTTACGGGGAAAGGTCAGGAGAGAAAGTTAAAGTTTTGTGGTATTTATTTCTCTATGGGAATCACTGGATCTCGCTTCTGAGGAGGAGGGTAGGTAAATAAATAGGAGGGGGAGGAGGAGGAGGAAGAGGGGGAAGGAGGAAGGGGGAGGAGGAGGAAGAAGAGGAAGGAGGAGGAGGAAGGAGAGGAAGAGGGAGGAGGAGGGGAAGGAAGAAGAGGAAGGAGGAGGAAGGAGGAGGAGGAGGAAAAGGAGGAAGAAGAAGAAGAAGAAGAAGAAGGAGGAGGAGGAGGAGGA